TTCTTGGGGACCCTCCTGATATTTGTGGGGGAGCCTGCTGCTATTGTGTGGGCCCTGGTCCTGTCAGTTGTCATGATGGTGCGGGCTGAGCCTAGTGCAGGGAAAGGTCAGTCCCGGTTGTGAGCGTTGTCCATCCAGCATTTTTCCCGGTACCCAGAGTTTGGTAGTGGTTCTCCAGCCTCACCTTAAAGAAAAACAAGGATCTTGTTTTGCAAAGCCATCTGCTGCATAAACAAGCCTGCTCAGTACACAGATCGTGACTTAACACCTTTATGGTGCAGGCTGGTGGTATTCATTACCGCGCGTGTGTATCCACAGTTGGCTGGGACCTTCTGTGTTGACACACCACCATCATATGGGGTGGAAGATGGAGCCCTGCCATGGCACGTGGCCACTCCCAGTGTGCACAGTGAGCTAGGCCCACGGTCTGAAGTCAAGAGAGTAGGGAGCGTGTTTCCTTCTGCTTCTGCTGCCTCCAGAAAGGAAAGTGGTTCCTCTAGGAGAGTTGAAGCACCCTGACACTTTAGCCTAAAACACTGCTCAGTCTCTTTAGAGTTGGGAATTATTTACTTATTGATGTATTTCTATTCTGGTTTCCTCCAAAGAGATTGAAGTGGCAAATGCATAAGGAAAAGACAGATATACTGTAATGGAAAGTCTAATATACTTCCTATCTTGAAGACCAGGAGTCTAATCATTTATCTGGCTTTTATTTAAAATCTTGGTGGGTCATGTGTTTTTCTTTCAGTAAATGAATCAGAAACATTCCTGATTAACAAAGTCTGCTACACCTGGGAATGCAGATTGCGCTAGAGCTGTGCTGTCTGATACAGTAGCCACAAACCAAGTGTGGCTATTTCAATTCAAATTAATTAAAATCAAATAAAATTTAAAAGTCAGCTCCTCACTCGCACTGGCCACATTTCATGGGCTCAGTAACCACATATAGCTACTGTAGTGGACAGTGCAGATAAAGCACATTTCCATCATCACAGTAAGTTTTATTGGCTAGTGCTGCCCTAGAGAATACCCTTCTATTATCATATTTAGTCATGCAGTTCCTTTCTCCTCTAACCTCCCCCACTTCCCTTCCACTTTGGGAAGGAAATCTACACCCAGCTTCATGGGGCTGCTTTATCATCGTTAGCAGCAAGAGCGACCCTGAGCTCGTGGTCTAACCTGTCATCCCAGAGACACCAGTGACCCCATATGACAAAGTAAAGAGAAAGACTTTTCAGGAATGAATTTTAGTGATATGTGATGAAACCCAGAATGAATATTAGAAGAGAAAACAGGATACAAGACAATGTGTGTACACATGTATACATAAAAAACATTCCAGTTTTGTGTGTAGCCGGCCATTTCCGAATCGTGAAAATAAAGACAATTTTTCCTCTCTTTGTTTATACTCATCTACATTTTCTAGTTGGTATAATTAGCTTCAAACATTTTTATAATTAGAAAAACAAGTTTGTTTTTAGAAGGAAAAAAAAAAACTTCCCAAAACTGAAAGGAGGAGGAGTGATTCTCCTTGACATTCAGGAGCTGTAATTGAGGTAGAATGAGTTTATCTGCAAATACCTCCCCTCCTCCACTCTTGGAGATAAAATAATTTTTAAAGTGGAGGGGTGATTTTGCAATCAATGTAACAACGAACATTTATTGCCAACGTATATTTATATGTATGTTCCTATGCTCTCATGAATGTATGTGTCCTCACTCCAACTAGATTATCAATGCTCAAAGGCAAGGACATATCTTCTACTACTTTGGTCTCCCCAACAGCACCCTAACCCACACTTGATAGCCATTATTGACTGACTGACTGACTGACTGACTGACTGACAGATTGGCTGACCTTGCCATCGCTCTTAGGTTTTATGCCCACAAAATGTGTTAACATCTTGCCTCATTTTGCTTTGGGTCCTAGAAGTAGTGCTCTTTCCAAATTTGCCACATGAAATCCAACTGCTGGAATACAGGAGCCATTCATCACAAAGTGAGTTAGGCTTTCTCTGAGTCCATGTGTGTGGTAAGACCCTAATGGAATTTTTTTTTTTTTAATTTTGTTAGTTTTATGGAACTAGCGCTGGGAAGAGAATATGTTAAAACTCTTTGATTTGAGTGACCACAACCATCCACACCAGTGTATTTGGCACGTCTAGTAACCAGCTACTTGGAAGGAGAGATTTAATAAGGAGGATTTTCTTTTCTTGAGTTGGCTGTTAGAGTGATAAAACATGCTTGCAGGGCCATTCTGGTTTTGACAGTTTCTTGTGTCAGCCAAGACACCCACAGGCAGGAATTATAGTCTACTCTGCCCTCCTCGCTCAGATCCAGACTAGGAGATGGAGCCCAGAATGTTGGGTTTAATATTTAACTTCACTAGGTATATTTTACCACATCACAAACCTTGTATACTCATACATATCACAACACTCGAATATACATTAAAGCCATGTAGTATTTCTGCTCTCCCTCAGAAACAGGAGAGAAGATAGGAAAGGGAGAATGAATTGCTTTTCACCAAAGGCCAGTGAAAGTCTCTATCATTGTCCCTGAATGATTAATGTCCCTATTTGTGGAGGTGTGGGAGTTTAGTGGAAAATGTCTTCTCTTCTTGGAAGGGTAATATTATACTGAGGAGTGAGTGCTACCATGGAATTTATGGGTGGCAAATATGAGCAGAGCTGGCATGTAGGTGTAGATAGCAAATATCATCTGTTTTGCTCAGTGAGGCGACATTACATTCGAATAGACCAGCCGTGATAGTTCATGGTACTGTTTTCCTCCTGATGGGCATGCCATGTTTCCATGTGCCTGGCTACCAGATACCCAAAGTTGAGATCAATCCAAGAAACTGTCCATACCACACAGCTCCACATTCCAAGTTCCTTCAGACCACTCAAACACGTTGCTGTTTAGAGCCTCCACTGGGGTGAACAAAGAAAACAGAACATGTGTCAGTTAGTGCAGAATCTAGGAACAAGAGGTATACAACTCAGGTCTCTAATGGGCCAAGAATACTCCAGAGATTTCCACCTGGGAACTTGAGGTGTGCCACATGCCTGCTGCTGTGTTCTCTCTTACATTTGGTTACCTTTGAAGGACTTAGTGCCTTTTCAAAAATTTTATTTCTCTCAATAAACTTTATTTTTAAGAACTACATTGTCATTATAAAATAATTACTCTTATTTTCCTTTATTGAGCAAATACATATGTAGTATATAAATTATGTTATTAAAATATATAATATATAAATTTTAATTATATAACTAAGTGTATTATAAAAATTATATTATATAATATGTAAATATTAACTCTTTATAACTCAGAGATATAGTTACTACTATTAAGCCCATTTTACAAGTTGGAAAACTGAGACACCAAGAAGCTAAGTAATGTACAAAGACTAGACAGTTGTTAAGTAGTTAAGCTAGGATTTGAACCCAGGAAGTCTTGCTCCAGAGTGCTTGCTCTTCACCACTATTAGAATTCAAAAAAATATAAAGGCAAAAAATAAACACCCAAAGACAACTATGACATGGGACCTTGCCGTCGTCATCCTGTACATAGACATCCATATCGTTGAGCCAGTCTTTATGTTCAATTTGGTGTCTTCCTTTTTTTTTAAACTAAACTTGATAATGGTCTTTCCATGTTGTTAAAAACTCTTTATAAATGTTGGTTTAATGGCCATTTAACACTCCCAATCATGTAAATGTACCACTGTTTGCTTAACCATCCTGTTATGGGTGGCCATCTCAGCTCTCCATTTCCTGTTGTGATCACTAGCTCTGTGATGACAGTCTCGGAGCAGAACTTCTCATATTCTACATAAGAACGTGAGATCTCCATTTAGTGTTTGTGGAAGGAATTCCGGGGCACTTAATTTCTTGTTTTTTTCCCATCAAAAACTGAATAGTGATATCAATAACTGACATTTATAAAGCACTCTAAAACATTTTAGATGTACTTCCTTATCCAGTGACTCATTTAATCTTCACAATAGCCCTGCGAAGTAGACAATGATACTCACATTTTACAGTTGAGGGAACAGACACAATGCAATACAGAGTTAGAAAGCAGCAGAGCTGCAACCCTCCCTTCAATAAAGTATGGAATTAAGGTTTCATTATTGTATTTTTGAAAGCACATCATAGCCTAAGAAAATAATCCATTGACTTAAATTTATCATGAGGCAAAGAGAAAGAAGGAGAAGGTAAGGTATCTTCAAAGGTTTGAAGGATCATAGAAAAGAACCATATAGGACCCCAAGGAAAACTCCACTGAATGGAAAAAGATTGAAAGGGATAGATGAAGTAAGATTATCAAAAGATCAATCATTATTTTCAAATATTTGAAAATCTTCCTTCATATTTCTTCATTATATTATTCACTTCCAGTTTTATCATTTACTACAAACAACAGTTACAATTGTTAAGTAAATTGTAGTACATCCAACTGTGGGATACTATGTACCTATTTAAAATAATAAGGACCATATAAATGTATATGAATTTATGTGTTAGAAAGACAGATGGATGCATTTATTTTTACATGGGCCTTATTCAAGGTTAAACATTCTGCATTCTGCAGTTTTTTTTTACCAAATGTGAAAACAAAATATAGGATAAAGGAAGTTTAGGAAGATGCATTTCAAAACCCGGTGGGAGGGTCTGGGGTAGGAACATCCCCTGAAGGTCAGGCCTTCCATGTTTGGGAATCTTCAGAGAGTTTAAGGAAGATAAGAAACTCTCCCATTTCAGATGCTAAAGCACAAGATAAAAATGTTAGGAGCCAACAAGCCTTGAAATCCCTCTAAGGTAGGAGAGCTTCAGCCCAAATAGTGCATTCCAAATGCTTGCTTGGAGGATTTTCAGGTGGCCTGAAGAGTTAATGGCATCTTATCCCGAGAGGCCAGGCTGGGTTCTATCTGGGTTGGAGTGGCCTGTGGAACTTGCGCCCTGAAGGAGCTCAATGCTGTGCTTGCATTTCAGGATTTTATGGGCAGCTGCAGACGTTCTGTCCCCCACATTACCCCGACTCCCAGAGAACCGTACCGCCTGGCAGCTCCTGCAGTGTGGTGCCTTCCTTCGAGGACTGCCTGGTCCCCACATCCATGGGCCAGGCTGGCTTTGATGTTTTCCACAGAGCCTTCTCGACTCACTCCGGCATTACAGGTGTGTTGGGTGTCTGTGACTTAGGCACTTGGGCCAGTGGGCAGGAGAGACCAGGTGGGTTTCCTGTGGCTGGCCTGGACGAAACCCAGCACGTGACCACGTCAAATCCTGTTGAACTATCCCTGACCTGTCTTCACCTTCCTCTTCAGCCCGCGCTAGCCTCACTTCTACCACCCTAGTGCAAGAGCCGTCGTACCTCCCCACCCCGTGGCCATAACCTTCCAACAAGTCTCCCTGGTCTACTCCTCATCTCTGTCATTCCTCCCTCCAAAACCAAGGGATAAAATATGCCACTTTCCTGCTCACATGCCTTAAATAATTTCCAGTTGCCTAGAAAATAAATTCTCCCCACAAGTTAGGCCTGCTCAGGCTCTCCAGACCTGCCCACAAAATTTTTCCCTGACATGCCTTTCACCTGAGCTATGCCAGCACCTTTGACCCCACATGCCCCTCCCTTTCTGTCTTTGCTCTCTGTTTCCTCTTTCTGGAATGTTCTTTCCCTACATCTCCGTCTGTGAAAATCCCATTCTCTTTTATGACTCCATTTTGATATCATCTCCTCCTCGAGACCACCCTCACCCTGTCTTTGAACATTTTAATTTTATCTCTGTTCCTTTTGTATTTTGTGCCAAGTCATGTTTTAGCCAGCTGCCTGCGAGCCAGCCTCCTCCCACGCTAAGGCCCCTTGAGGACAGAGACCCGCTGGAAGGCCGAGGTCCCTTGTGGCTGCCTCCTTACTTAGGTCCCTGTGGGTGCCTCGTTAGCCCCCGGTTGGCATTTGGGGAACTGCACGGGGGTGGTGGGGTGTGGATTAGGAGTTACTGACTTCCTGTGTCCTTTTCTCTTCCAGTGTATGACTTGCCTTCCGGTTCCTCAAGCCTCTTCGGGGAGTCTCTCCGCAGCGGTCCCGAAGACGCGGCATTCTTGCAGCTCAGCGCTGTGGACCGCTGTCCCAGCCAGCTCTCCTCTGTCCACACAGAGGGCTAAAAGCTCCCCCGGCCCCTCCTGCGCATCTAGAACCGTCTTGTTGCTTGCCGCCTTTTGTTCTCGTACCCTCACAGACTGCGCGAGGAAGGATGTGAACCAGTCAGCAGAACCTGCGGGCTCACTGACGTGCCTTTGCAAGGCAGGCAGGACTGGACGGTCAGAGCTAGCTTTGCAGGAAGGTGTGCAGTTGCTCCCTTTTCTCTCCGGGCCTGCTGGACCCAGTGACCAGCAGGACTGTCTCCTCAAAGGGAATTTCGAGTCTCTGTCTACTGGATAGCTGTTACTTCCTGGCTGTCAACCCTCAGAGGACACCAGTGAAATGATGTGCGTGTGCAAATGCAGTTTGGGGATGGCCCTGGCCGAATACTCCAAATAGGGAAGGACAACCCAATCGCCAGAGGCGCAGTGGGCTGCCCCACCCAACACCCGCCCTCACTGCCGGCCGGGGCAGGGCCGGACGCGCGAGGGAAATCCGCGTCCAAAGCATAGTGTGGTCTCAACTCCTGGAAACTCCCAGGATTTCACTTTCCCCTTAGATAGTCCCATGCTAACCCATCACTTCTCTGTTTCTCCAACAGCAAAATAAGGTCTTATATTTTAGCAGCCTATCTCTGTTTTTAAAGACTTGTTACGCATCTACTTTAAAAGGAAAACAAATATTTAGGGGTCTGTTCTTTGGATGGAAATTAATATTATTTTAATCACCTCGGTTCCATACGTTCTGCACAGCTGTAGCTCTGCCTGGCCCCACCCTGGAATGTTGGTTTTGCAGTTAGCACAGGCTGCCTGAGGGAGACAGGGTGGGAACAGCCCTCGCGGCCAGTGCTGTAGCAGGAACCCTCCCGGGTGGACTGTTCAGCAACTCCACCACGAAGACCTTGCTTGAAGAAAAAGATTGCTTGCCTGGTTTGCCCATTGCCTCCACTCTGATGCTCCGCCCAGAGAAATGCCGGAAGAGGTGAGAACAGGGACAGGCTGAGCTGTGTGCCTGGGTTCTCTCGGAAAACCAAACAAAGGATGCCTGATGTCCAGTTACTTTGCATGGTCTCTACTCCTTCAGGATATGCACTCATCTGTCTATCTGTCCCTTACACTTCTCCCCACCCTCCCTTTGTATCTTTCTGACCCGATCCTTGGCTGTGGGTCAGACGTGCCCGCCACCGCCGCCGTCTCACCGTCCACTCTTGGGAAGGTGGGCAGGAGAAGGCACCCCTTTTTCTAAATCTCTAGTTTGAATCTCTGGAATTTTCACAGAGCACCTGGCCATTCTGTATCAACCCTAAATAGAAAGTTATTTTCCGTGACACCTTTACAAAGCTATTGAAAAGATCCCAAATGCTAGGGCACAGGCTAGAAAAAAATTGGCCAAACCCAAAGACCTGGTACATTCTGGCATTCTGGTAGTGTGACATTTCAGAGTTTCTTTTATCTCTTTCTAAAAATGTTTTCGGGACAAAAGTGAAAGATGCTGTTTGTCAAACTGAGATCATTACAGTCTTCGACAAGACAGTGAAACAGCGTGGTGTTGGACTTGGGGTCCAGTGACAGTTTGTATCCTGACATACAGGTCTTTCCGGTCTGGCTCCACAATCAGGAGAGTTCTACCTGGCTCAGGAGTCCATTCCAACATGCGGTAGAATGAGGTGAATAAAGAACCAAGTGTGGGTTTCACTCTTACAGTGCACTTGGTCAGTCCAGATTCTCTGACTAGTGGCCTCTGTGCTAAGTTACCGTGCAGACATTGAAGTCTGCAAGAGATGAGTTGTGTGCTTTACAACAGGGCATGCACCAGGCTTCCCTTATAAATGAGCTCTCAGGCTGCATGTAAAATACCATCCTTCTTGCAGACTTTGTGCCCCTTGGCCTAAGCCAGGACACATGCATACGTACACTGGCTTCGTCGGTAATATCCCTCATACATCCTCTGTCACACTCTAGAAAGAAAGGAAAATTCTGGCATCTTTAGAGAGACCATTTATCCCTTCTTAAATATGGAAGCCTTTGTGAGGAACTCAAATACCCTTTGTTTGTGCAATGAGAAAAAAGATGAAAAGGCTAAGGTGTTATTGCAGTTGATGCTGTCAGCCCTGCCTGTGGCTGTATATAATTTAAAGTAGAAAGGGGGAAGGAGGATAAGACAAGAAGCTGAACCTCAGAAATCGTGGACCATCACCTCCCCCATTTGGACTTAACAAGGCCTCTCCCAGTCACCCTGCCCCTTTCTTGCCTCACCTGGCCCAGAGGGATTCAGGGAGGGGCCAGGCAGCAGACCTGCAGCGCCTCCCTCCTCAGCAGGAACTCAGAGGCCCAGCCCCTGAGGGACACTCATGTTGTCCCAGGGAGCCTGCAGGAAGCAGTGCAGCCCCTCAAGTGCTTCTCCGCGTTCACTGATGGCTGCAGGTTTGAGGTTAGGGCCTCAGGATGTGACACATTCAGGTTCCTTTTAAACAACACAGACTGTCCTTAGTTTCCAGAATCTCTCCTGATCTTAAAATGTGTCCCTTGCTTACTTTTGAAGCATTGCAAAAGATTCGTATATGCTTTCCTCTTTTTTGTAGCAGTGTATAAGTGGAAACTTCAAAAAACAATTCCCTTCCATTTCCTGGCCTTTTCAGTCTTGATATGTAACCATTTTCATAAACATCCGAACAGAGATTGTCATTCCCCTTTTTATAAAAAAAAAACAAAAAACTAGTGCTTGTGAAAACACACACAGCCCAAAGCCAATTATCCTATTACATTAGGAAAAAAAAAATCAGTATGCCTAGAGTCATTTAATTTGCTACATGGTCTTAATTCCCTAAAGGGACTGCATCAAAATGTCAGTTGTAATTTAGCCTCTGATCAGCTGTTAAATATTATTTAAATGTTGGCTGGTCCTGTGGGGTATCTCCTTTTACCCGTGTCTCCCCCAAATTACATAAGTGATTCTAAAATGGAAAAAAAAAGTCTTTAGTAGATCACAGCATAGTTTCCACTGATAACAGAGTGTTGGTTTTGTTCAGTTGCTTTTAAATTACCAGCTGTCAAGCACACGAGGACACTAATACCAGTTCTGAACAAGGATAAATTCAGCTCCCCAATCTGAGAACCTTGACTTTCTAGTTGCCTTGAAGTATTGGGAATAGTGACTGTAAATGTTCAGTTTAATTATTTGCTATTTTATTTGACTGTGTTGACCATGGCATTTTATAGCAGCATTTTTTAATGGCACTTTTTGTTGGTGGTGTGGAATTTTTGCGGTTACTTTTTTTTTTTTTTTTTTTTAAAAGGAAAAAAAAAAAAAAAAAAAAAAAAGCACTCATCGGAGAAATGGTGAGTGTAAAACAGAAGAGATTTATTTTGTACAGACAGCAAAGCATCCTGTGTAATGTTGCTGACATAAAGCACTTTGGGGGGGAAAAGTGGAAATCTGTTTTCCATAAATCACACAGACTCTTGTACATAGTTATATACACTCACGTAGAGAAATGAACTGCATATATCATACTGGATATGGGGCCAATTTTACTCTAGAGGCACATCTGGTGCTTATTGTCATAAATCTTTTAAAGAATTAGGTACACTTTTTTCTATTAATATGTATAGTTTTGTGATTTGTCACAGTTATGTTTCATATAATCATAAGTTATTTTGTCTTGTTTCATGAAGTCCTTTTTTTATGTCAAAAGTAAAATGAAGGGATTGTGCACTTGGTACAGAATAAAACTGGAAATAGAGGCTACGCCCTCCTGCCTGGAATCCTCCTTCAGCATGTCGCTTTAAAATGCAACGGCCACAACCGTTGTTTGTTTGTTTCATTATTTTGTTTTGTTTTGCCATCAGCTTGCTACGTATTGGGGATGGTAATTATAATTAAAAGCAGACTGGGGTGGGGGGGTGGGGGGAGGGAATGTCCAAGGCCAGCTTTAAAATGCCGCATTGCTTTGGGCCAGAGCTGCAGCCTGGATTTAATTATAGATATGAGGACGAAATGGCAGTAAAATGAATGTCTCCCTGAATCCTTTACATGTTGGGAGTGTCCATAAATAAAACATGAAGTTTTATTTCATCAGATTTAATTAAAGCTTTTATACATGTTTTATTGGTTATTCTATTAATCCGCCTCACAAACTGGATAAATGTGTGCTAGGGTTTGGGGTTTATTTGTGCCTTTTCAACGTAGTGCTACATCATGCTTCAGAAATGCCTCTAGCGCTTGGTACTCCAGGTGCTGGGGTTTCGACAAGCTGGGGGCTGGAGGAGTGGGTTTTTTCGGCCCTGTTTTCCTAAAACCCTGCAGAAAAAGACACAAGCATCAGCTTCCCGTGAGCTTGTTCCCCGAACTTTGTAGTAGTCTGATTCCCCAGAGAAAGGGGCTGCTACCATGTCCCTGGTTTCCCCATCCTGTCCACTCTCCAGGCTCTCAAAGCCACCTGACCCCACTGGCTGCAATGAGCATTTGTCCTCCGCTCCCAGCAGCAGCTGGGGTGGGTGGTCGGGATATTCTTACACCTCGCTGACCTGCTAGCAAAACATGTGAATCCCAGAGAGATCGCATCGTAACAATCATCGTTAAAAGTTGACTATTTTCTTGCTACGTTTTTAAGACTGGAGACTTATTTTAAGGGAAGGCACAAAGCAGAAGGAACCATGGTCCCATGTGCCTTGTCTGGTTCCTCAGGGTCAGAGAGCAGGCACTGATGGTTCAGAGTTGTGGAGGTGGAAATAGTGCTGACTGATTAGACACAAAGAGCTTCTCGGCTTCCTAAGAGGAGGACACTGGTGGGAATGTGATTTGTTCCAACCTCTTTGGAGAACAGTTCGGCATTAAGTGGCAGAGGTGCAGGTCCACATACCCTACAACCCAACAATTCCACTCCTTTCCAGAGACTCTTAAGTCAGTGACACTTCAGATATAAGATGTTCATAGCAATGTTACTTACAATACCCCAAACTGGAAATGACCCAACTGCCCATCAGCAGTACAATGAATAAATGAATCTCGCCCAAGTAACGTAGTGAAATGCCATGAAAGTGACAGCAAAGGAAATGGCAGCACTATAGCCACACACAATAACTCAGAATTGAATCTCACAAACCACGTGAGAGAAACAAACAGACACAGAGGCAAATACACAGTGTTAGTCTATGTATACACAGTTCAAAAACAAGCAAATTCAATAATAGAGTTTAGATGGGAGAAGTAGAAAGAGCAGCGAGGAAAATATTATCACAAAGGCAGACATCCTGATCAACTCTGGGGAGAAAGGTCACATGGGGTCTTCTGGGGTGCTGATGGACAATGCTTTATTTCTTGACCCAAGTGTTAGGTTATACAGGTGTTTGATTTATAATTATTGCACTGTGCTTATGTGTTTTATAGTTTTTATTTCAAATACCAGTGAGAGCCAAGTCTTACATTCCCTGCTCCAGGGGTCTACAAACTTTTTCTACAAAGGGCCAGATAGGATATATTTAGACTTTGAAGGCTCTATGGTCTCTGTCTTGTACTCTGGCACCAGAGCTGAAAAACAGCCATTGACAATATACAAACAAATGGATGTGGCTGCGTTCCAATAAAACTTTATTTATGGACACAAATTTGAATTTCACCTAATTTTCAGATGTCATGAAATAGCGTTTTGATTTTTTTTTCAACTCTATAAAAAGGTTTACAAAAATTCTTAATTCACAGGCTGCACAAAAGCAAAAACAAAAAGTCAGCGGGCAGGATTTGGCCCGTGGGCCATAGCTTGCTGACCCTAGTCAATTAAAGAGCCTTCCCCAAGCCCTTCTCATAAATATCCACTCAGAGAAAACCACAGATAGGAGCCCCTCTGCTTATTCTTCTGCTAGGTTGGGTCCTGTTCCTAGAGGAAATTCATGAGTTCTATTGATTAAGCTCTTCTTTGTTTAGATCCTGGGTTCTGCTCCCCGGGATACAGATGAATGCGTAGAGCCCGGAGTGCCATTCGACTTTATCTCTGGATTTAAAGTTTTTAATAAAAGGAACTGGGCACAGAGAAATCTGTGAGAATTGGAAAATGAGCACCCATTCTTTCCAAGCAAACCAAATATTTGCTGGGTCTTGGCAGCCACAGCCAACCTTTTTCCTCTGAAATGCTGAGAGGTTATAAGTAATGGGAGACTTCATTTTTCTCGGGCCACAGCTCTTGTGAGAAGCTGGAGCTGCCTCTCAAAACCCGCAGGGTTCTCAGGGAAAGGAAAATCAGGGTTTTAGGCTCCAAGACGCCACTGAAAAGTGGTTGTAGCAGAGTCAGGGGGCCCTGACGGTGCTAACGGTTTGCCCCCCTCCACACCGTAGGAAGGCGGCTGAACACCCCAGCCCCCCCCCCCGCCCATGGTTTCCCACAATGCCTTGCTCCCTAATTCCCAAATGTAAGGGCTTGTCCGTCCTGACAATGCCGCCTGTTGAACTCACATTTACGCGAGAGAATGAGACTGAATTCACATGGTTCAAGTGTATGCCTCTCTTTGTGTCTCTAGCTTGTGATAGAAGTGGTAGTTTCAAAAATATTGTTATTCATGAGTCCCGGGTCATTGGCTAAATATTAGCCTGGTCTAATCCTCTTCAGCAGGTCTCCTTGGTGGTCTCATGTACTTGAACTTGTGTATTTTGTATAAGTCTGATATTAAAGCTACTAAGAGCATAGTATTTGGGGTGAAATAACCCAAATTACATAAAGAAAAGTTTAACCAGAAGAAAGCTTAAAGAACATCCAGTATAAGCATCATTTTACACAGGAAGACACTAAGGTTATTTCATTCATTCACTCACCCATTCATTCATTTGCTCATTTTTTTTTTTTTACTCATTCAACATTTACTGCATGCCTGCTGTGTGTTAAATAAACAAAGGTAGAAGTGGCTCTGATCCTCACAGAGCTGAAGAGGACTACAGGAATCATCTGCTTGTGAAGACTCGCTAGAGCTTGTTAAAAATGTACATTCTAAAGCTACTGAATGCACAGAGCTACTGAGTTGGAATTTTTAGTGAGATGGAGGCATCTGCATTTTTAATAAGCTCTCCGGATGGGTGGTTGCTTGTGCAAACTAAATGTTGACCACCTTTGGTATAGTGGAGGAGCAGACCATTTAACAGGGCGACATTGCATAATAGAAGCTCTCAAATCCTACCTGGGGAGATAGGATGGCTGGGTCAGAGTTTCCATAGGAAAGGGGAGGAGAATGTCTGAGCTAGTTCCAAAGGCTAAGTAGAACCTCAAGAAGCAAAGAAAGGATATATCAGGCAGGGAACAGAGCATGTGCAGAGACACCAAGAGGAAAGGCACTCAACAGGACAGTTTGAGGATGGGAGGTGGTCCCATCTCTGTGCTCTAATTCTTCCCTGAACCCTGAGCCCTGAGCCACAGCCCTTCCTATGTCAGCCCGCTGAGCTCAGAGCATTATTTCCTCAACCACAGGGGATGGTATGCTACCAATTACTCTGCAAAAAGGGTTCCACCATCAAATTAGTTTGGGAAAGAGTGGTCAAAATTGCACAAGTGTCTTCACTCAACCACTTGGGTACGAGCGTTGACTATAGTCAACAGCCACAGATGAAGGCGCACAGCCAAGCATCAACTTTAGCCGACAGCCATGATATGACTTTTCTAATTTTTCATTTATCAGAATAAAATTGTGAACATTTAAAAATAATGTAATGAAAACATATATGTACATGTTACCTATTCTGACTTACATTACAAGTAAAGCTGCCTATAAAGTAAAACAAGCTTTCAGTGCTTTCAAGCTTTCCTCATCACACAAGAGCAAAACAGATTCGTCGTCAATGCACAGCACAGACTGTTGTGCGGACTGTGAGTGCCGGCTGTGGGCAAGGTTTCACAGCCAGTGAGTGCAGTACCGAAGTGGTTAAGGACCTCTCAGAGCCATTTCTGTGCCAAAGTGCAGCCTGACCCTCCAGGAGAGAGTCTGGGGGTGCAATCTGTCAACCAGAGAACACAATTTCCAAAAAAGCAAAAGCACCCTGTTAGTACTGTGGAAACAGTTTAGGGTGTCCTCAAAAAGTTAAACATTTAATTTCCATATGACCCGACAGCTCCACTCTTAATTCAAAAGAATTGAAAGCAGGGACTCAGATACTTGTATACCAATGTTCATAGCAACATTATTTGCAATGTCCAAAAGGTGGAAACAACCCAGATGCCCAACATGAGATGGATGGATAAACAAAATGTTATCTATGCATACAATGGAATATTATTCGGCCTTTAAAAAAAGAGAAATTCCAATACATGCTACAACATGGATGAACCTCAAACACATTATGCTAACTGAAATAAGTGAAATACAAAAGGACAAATACCGTATGATTCTTCTTACATGAGGTATCTACAATAGTCAAATGCATAGCGGTAGAAAGTAGAACAGTGGTTACCAGAGCCTGGGGGAAGAGGAGAATGGGAAGTTACCATTTAACATGCACAGAGTTTCTGTTTGAGAAGACGAAATGGTTCTGGAGGTGGATAGTGGTGATGTTTGCACAAAATTGTGAATGTACTTAAAACTGCTAAATTGTACACTTAAAAATGGTTAAAAAAATGGTAAATTCTGTTATGTATATTTTGCCACAATTTTAAATAAAACAGAGAATGCAGGCAGAGCAACTAATTTGATGCCTGACACCTAGTAGATGATTGAAAAAAATTTAGAAGCACCTTGTCAGGCCAGTGTTCCTTAGGGTGCTCTTTGGGAACCTCTCCCACCCCCTGAGGTGGCATGGGAGTAGAGCCCAGCCTGGACCAGCATTTGCTCCTGCCAGGTAGAAATGGTGGCTTCCTGAGAAAGAGGAAGAGGAAGAGAAGCTGAAGGGGAGAGGGGAAGGTGGCTGGAGGAACTACAGAAAGTGTTCTGAGCACGGAGCACTGTGCCTCATATGCATTCCCAGGAACTAAGGAAGGGAAAGAGAAGGAGGATGGAAGGGGTACGCATGTGTAGCAGGAGGAGGAGGGAGTGAACTACGGGGAAATACAAGAAGATCTAGTTTAGACCTGGCTGATCCCAAAGTGAACAAATGCAGAGATTTGTCTGGATT